AGCTGGCCCGCTGGCTGGAGAAGAGAATCTAGCTGTGGGTTTAGCATCCATTCTGGCTGTTGGATTGTTTTTACAAGAGGCAGAAGCCTTTTGTTTGCGCTAGGAGGAGAACAGGGCCCTTGGGGAAGGGTAAAGGAGTCTGTGAGATGAGGCATTTTAAGCAGTTTCCCTGTAGAACTTCGCTTGTCCCGTACAGTTTACCCCCTGCAGAATCCCAGCTAAACAGCAACTGGATGCATCAACTTTTTGTTTTTAAGGAGGTTTTAAAACCTAATATACAAAAAAGTTGCATTTGGTATTTCAAGGTTTCCCTGGGGGGCAGGTGACGGCACTCCACTCACGCTGTCTGCCTTGCCCCAGCGTCCTGGAGCCTGGCGGCAAAGGAAAGCTACCGGAAGTGAGGGGAGACAGCTGCCGAGCGGAGGTCCTGTTAATGCTTTGGCGGAAACACACTGTGGGCTGGCTTAGTTGGAGCAATCCACAAGCGTCCTGCTGTCAGAGACTTCATCGAGGGCTGCCCGCCAATCCCAACCAATTCCAACCACATCACCTTTTACCAGTTGGCCTCCCTGGTCTGCCTGCAGCCACGGCAAACAGAGGCAAGTGAACTGTGGAACTAGGGTTCCACCCAGGGGCTCTGGGGAGGTCACAAACCTGAGCTGGACTTGTATCCAGGCTGGGCCTGGTTATTGCATGGGCTACACAGAGCAATTCAGCCTCCTTCCCCCACCCCCTCTTTAAATTGCCTCTGGAGCAGCTCAGCCTTTTCAGTGCTGCCCAGACTGCTGCATGTGGGGGGGCGGCATCAAAAGGCCTATAATTTTCATTGGCTGAATTCTGCAACTCCTCGAGCAATGCCCCACCCCCGCATTATAACTTTGGAAGGATGATTGCACTGGGTTTAACCCTTTGGAGGGTGGCAGTTTCACCTGCATACTAAGTCAAGGTTTAGAGGGGAGATCATGCATATGCCCACAGCGTCTGAAGGATGGACGCACCTCAGGGCTTTTCCCACCTCTGCTCAGCTGATATATGATCTTCCTGATGCTTGTAAACTGGCTCCGGCTACTATTCCTGCTTGCCAGCTTCATATGTTACCACCTTCCACGACTTCACTCCATGGATCAGATTCTTAATGAGGGGGGAGAAACCTCTTTGCCTGCAATAGATCTTTTAGCAGAGATTTGTGACCTGCTTCCCTGCAGCCTATCAAAGGGCGACGTTTTACAGTAGCGTGGCTCTGACCAGGTGCCGTGACTTTATGGCACTCTGAAGCCAGGCGGCTTCACCAGCTCTGGGAGGAGGAGGAGGAGGAAGGAGTCACTGTGTGCACAGCCCTCATGATTATCTACAGTCCCTAGAGTAAAGAAAGGTCCAGGGAGAAAGTGCAAGTTGAGGAAATTGCATAGGGGATGGAGAGGCAAGGCAACCCCAGGCTTTCACCATGGTTTGAACAAATTCTTCCATCTTTCTCCTTAATCCCGGTTCAGTGTCAAGAGTGACGTTACACTCAGAGAAAGTACAACTATTACCGTGGCAGCAAGTAAATAACTTTCCTTGGTCTGAGGCATCTCTGGAGACAAGACCAGGGTCTGGCTCGTTGAAAAACAAGCATCAGTGGAGGCCTCCCTGAGATGAAGTCTCCCCTCTTTGTAATAAGGTGAAGTTCCCAGTAGGTGGAACGTACTGTCTGAACAAAACTTTCCCTGGGGATAATCGTGTCCAGGCACAGAAATCTCAGCTATTGGGAAGCCCTGATCCAGAGTGGTGTGGAAAGCAACATCCAAAAGTGCACGTCGGTCTCCTCGACCTCTTCCTGTTCCAAGAACTGAAAGTTGTCCAAGACTTTGGCACGGTTGGCTAGTCAATATCAGTCTTCATGAAGATATTTGATATTACTCTGGATATAGCCAGATTAATTTTGCGTTTGAGAGTCACTCTGCATGTCCGAGGCAAGACCAATGAGACAGGCTTGATGACACACGGTAAATCTGAGAAGTGTCAGGTGAGACGCAGTTACAAGCGTTTAGTAGCAGAGATCCAGGTAGGAAAAGCCACTGAGTACATCTGCTAGATGGTTTTCAGAGGATCCATTTAGGTCCTCTGTCCCCCATCACAAATAGGCATGCTGCATAGCATAACCCAGCTCTTCCAACGGATTATATGTGCAGTGAAGTGATGCACATTCCAGCTTTCAGAGTAGCAGCCGTGTTAGTCTGTATCCGCAAAAAGAACAGGAGTACTTGTGGCACCTTAGAGACTAACAAATTTATTAGAGCATAAGCTTTCGTGGGCTACAACCCACTTCTTCGGATGCATTCCAGCTTGTATCTTCTCCAGATCACGAGGCAGCTGACCTCAGACTCAAGGAAATGGCTTCCAATAGCTGCTCTGGGCTGCAAGAAGGGACAGGGAAAGACCCATGGAATAAAGAAGTGAATTCACCTATGAGCAAGGCGACAAGGCCACTTCAGGAACATATTGGAGTTGTGTTTAGAGTCTTTACTTTAGCTCAGTCAAAAGCCTGAATGGACCTGAAATAATTTCACACAAGTTGGGGGGCGGGGTTTGGTTTAAATTATGGCTTTGATTCTAAAGCTGGAACTGAATGGCTTATTCCCTTCTTTCAAAGCATGACTTTCTCCAAATAAAGTGCAACAACATCCACCCCCACCCCCAAAAATCACCATTCTGTGTTTTGCTGCAGTGGAGGAGAACTGAGCGGCAGTGGGACTGACCTCGTGGGAATACCAATGGCATAAAAGAGGATACCCCAGACATAGGGCTGACAGATCTGCCCTGTGCCATGCCCCTCACAGCCCCCAGAGTGTAGGAGCATACCAGGGGGAAGCAGAGCACCCTGGATTCTGGTTCTTCTGACCTCTCATGCTCCCTGCTGCCTCCAGAATTTGGGTAGTATGAAAATGACAGTAATTTCCATACCATTCACAACCCCACTTTCTGGCTGAACTGAGCTCAGCCAGAATGAAGCATCAGGTCAAAAATCCATAATGAGGGGGAAGAAACATCTTTGCCTGCAATAGATCTTTTAGCAGAGATTTGTGACCTGCTTCCCTGGAGCCTATCAGGGAAGCAGGTCTCGTTCAAGCTTGTAAAAAAGTTCCCCCCACCCCCAGGAAATTGGGATTTTCCCACTTTGTTTTTCCTATTTTTTGGATTTATGGTTTGAGGGTTTTTTTGTTTGTTTGTTTGGTTTTTGGTGTTTAAACAAACAGCACAATTGGAAAAGTTTTGATACTAAGAAATAGTAGGCTATAATTTCTAATGTGAATACAAAATTTAAACTATTCCAAGACGTTAAAGAGGGAAGTAATGAACTCATACAAGGTTATTGTCTCACTTTAGGAACAAGTTAGAGCTGTCTAGAAGCCTAGAGGGCAAGGGAATGGATGGAGCCATTAGCGATTGGAAAGAAGAGCATAGCTAGTGAGAGGAATTAACGGAAGACAGGACAGTTGAAGTAGGAATTTTGTCCGCTTTTAAGAGTCCTGCTGTAATGCTATCCAGCCCACCTGTCTATGGCATTAGCAGAGTTTGGTCTCATCAAAATTTAAACAGACGAGGCACTGAGAGGAAGGTGGGGGGAAAACCATGTATAGGCATCCAAAAGAGTGATACGTAGCATTGACTAGAGATGTGTTTTACTTATAGAATTGCAAGTTGTCAGCAGGGTGGATTTGATTTAAATCACTAGTCAGGAAGACTCGATTTAATCCTGGTTTTCTACATAAAAGTGCATTCTTGTTGGTTATAACCTTAATACACATTCTTCACAACTGAGATAGACGTAGGTTTCATTTTTAGAAGGTACACACGATACATTTTTAAAACAGATTTTGAAAACTTTTCAGATTAGTTTTACAGCTATATCAGAAAATGAAGGATTGTTTGGTTATTTCATTTACCAAAGGTAATTGAAGCAGATATTGATGAAGTCATTGGGAGGTGAACTATCTCCAATTCAACAGGTTAATCATTAATATTTGGAGGATTTTCTTGCCGTGCTGTACTAGGAGCAGACCACCTCCAGACAGACATTTAAATTGGTTTATTTAACTAAAAATAACAACATTAAGTATTCTGGATTTTTTTCTTCAACAGCAAACATATAATATTTTAACAAAACAATCATACGTCCCTCCCTTCTCACATTTATCTCCAGACTTCTTCTCCTTGTCCAGATCTATTCCGCCCCCAGGAATCTTCTATTCATTGAACTTTTTGAAACTTTGCACTTTTAGAGAGAGGTAAGGGATTGACTTTGTGTACACAAATCTGCACAGGGACAATAGAGTTGAGGTCTGTTATTTCTCACCTCTATATATTATTTAAAAACATTTTTGCTGTTAATAAGCATGTTACCTCTGGAGACACAAATCCACAGTTTGAGAACTGCAAAATGAAGCATTTCTGGTAGTATCTTCTAGACTGAGCACTGAGTCCCATTGGGTAGATAGAAAGATTAACCTAAATAATCTATACAGAAGCCCGTGGAACCCCATAAAATTGGGTCCCTAATCCATGAACTATTGGAACTCATTTACAAAATGTTTTTTAAACATTATATGAATATATTGTCTCATACTATAGAAGTAGAATTTATAATCCCTATTCCATGATGAGATATCGTTGAGCTATAATGTAGCTATCTTTAGATAAAATGTTTTTTGAGGGAAAAAAAACCTATCCAAAAAATCTGCATGTAGTTAAAAAAAGCCAGTAATATGAACTTTTTAGAACCCTCAGACGAGTGCAGTGCACTGGTAGAACTGCCATGCCAGACCTGCAATGTAACATCTTGAACTAGACAGCTCCAAAACATTTAAGCCCAAAGTCTGCTCTCAAATGCATACATGTAACTCCCATGGACTTTGATCAGAGTGGTGTGCAACAAGCACATCTCTGGGGAAACAGGTCTCTAAAGAATTTAGAACAACTTGAATACCAAGCTTAAAAGAAGCAAAGCAAAGCAGACAGCAGTTTGTCCATTTGTTTATTGTCATTCAAATACTAAAAATCCCTCACAATACAATATACAGTTATTGATTTCAGGTTCTTCTCCCATTGAAATTGACTATCAGGCTTTAGTGGGAACATTTTTTTTTAATTTTTGTTTTATTATCAAAGATTTAGAGTCACAATAAATACGAGTGACAAAAAAACATACCCTGCGCTTGCGTAACGTTACTCTGTTACAGTTTCTTTGTTAAATGATTATAAATTTTTTTTAAAAAAGCACAATGCAAGTTATTTCGCTAAATGCAATATACAGCGTAACTCTGCCTTAAGCAGACAAACACTACTGCGGTTCCTTGAGGTCTTTTTGCATTATATATAGATATATATATTTATATATTTTCTAAAAAAAAAATGACAACCGTGTCCCCCCCCCTTATAAAAGGAGAAAGTGACATATGAGCCAAATAGGGTTTCTGATGTGACCACTGTATAAGCCTTCTCCCTTCTTCTGTGCTCCGAAACGAGTCCCCCATTTTCATTTTCTTAGCTGTACTTTGGTAAATCCTTTTTTCTTTTAGTAAGCAAAATTTGGTAACTAAATTTGATAATTAAAAGGTAACTGACTGGTTCCTAAAACAATGATCAAAATATCTATAGAAAACAAAACAATGCTATCCAGAATTTAAGATCAACCAAAAAGAACCCTCCTCAGTATTACAGCTGGAATGCCATTTACAGGAATCCCTAAAATACAAAAGTTAGCAAGTCAAACTTTACATGAACTGGAAAGCTGTCAAAATCTTCTACACTATAAAAATAAAAGGTTCAGCCAGGCCACTTTTCACGTTTCTGGGCAGAAAACAGTAATCTATTCAATGCCCAAAATAAAACAGATAATAAATTAGGTTATAAAAAAATAAAATTAAAAAAACCACACAGCTCCCAAATTTCAACACTGGTTCAAATGAAAGTCAGGGGTTTATTTCACAAGTTGCTAAAATCTAAGTACAATAGTTAGTCATTTTCATTATTACTGTATTATAAAATCTCGTAGTTGCAACGTCTCAAAGGAAAAGGTTATATGGCTTGCAAGAACCAACGCTGCTCTAACCCTCTCCCCAGGAGAGGGGGGGAGCAAGCAGCATTTGAGCAATGTCAAACCAGCTCATGCGGCAATTGCAGCAAAGCAATGCAGGGTTGGGGGAATGGAATATGGGGCATGTTGCAATATGTACCACCTACAGGAGATCAATTTGCATGTTGTACTGTCAAATTGTACATCTCTTGCTCGGAGAGGGAGCTTTAGGTACAATTATGCCTCACTTAGAGGACTGGGGTGTGGGATACCTCTTGCCAGGCCCCTATGAATGAGTCAGCAGACTGCATTGGATTGGGCAGATCTGTAGGAAAAAGGAATAGCCTTCTGGTGGCAGGAATTCCAAACATGACAGTAGTAAAAATCAACTAAAGATTTTGTTCTTACAACATGCCTAAAACTCCCCTCCTCCACAATCAAACCATTTAAAAGGTTAAGTCACAATACCCTTGGTTTTTGTTATGTATATTGGGGGGGGCTGGAAGGGGCAGGTGAGGAGGAGAAATGGAAGTTATTTGGAAAGATTTGTTGCAAATCTTTTAATAGTTATTCTAAAGATAGTGTATGGAGTTTTAACTGGCCAGGTATAGCACACAGTCAACTGAATATACACCTCTGAACATATGGACTGAGTAAGCCAATCTGGCATCTACCCATGTACACCACTTGAATCTTTTCTTGCTGCACTTTTAGCCAAACTTTTCAGAAACAGCATATGCAAGAATTATCTTTAAATTACCTGCAACATCCCAAGAACAATAGATAAAAACAATGTCAAAACTGTTTTTAGATCCATGATCCATAATATCTGCAAAATGAGTTTTTGATCAATCTTTTACACTGTGCCCCTAAAATAATTCAGCCTCAGTATATTACTTTTACTTTTTTTAAGTGGAAAGAGAAAGTCCAAAATTATGCTGATACAATATGGCAGAGGAGGGTAAAGTCAACAAGATGCAATATGTGCAGGCTTTGATTTTTATTTAATCTTCTGGCCTTTAAAATAGTTCTCATTATCCTTTCTACTGAAATTAAAGTTTTAAATGCTGCTATACCAATATTGGCACTTTCCAAAACAGTTTTGACATTGTTTCTAACAAGCAACTTTATTGCTTCTTCCCCTTCTTCCATCCCCCTTCTGCAGCACTGGATGAATCTATAGCTGCCCAACATTAGAAAGGGCACACTTTTTGACCTTAGAAGTTGTTCATACCGTAGGTTTCCAAAAAGCCATTTGTGGGCACAAGATTGTAATTTGAGAAGTGAGATTTAAACTCAGAAACGCACTTTGGCCCAGGTCATTAAATAGAAAGAGACAACTGTATTCGAGAGAGTGTAAAACAGATTTGTCAGGAACAAAAAAATTCAAGGAACTGAAATATTTTCATACTGTGCAAAATAATATGCACTCTTTCTTTCTCCCCGCCTCATCAAAACAAAGAACCCCACACCTTGGAATGAAAATTAAAAAAACAAACAAACAAACAAACAAAAAAACCCACCACCCACAACCCATCTCATCCAGTTCTTCATACATTCAGAACAAAAAAAGTCAAACTGAAATTCTAGGGCTTTATACAGCAAAAAATACCATTTTGCAAAACTAGGTCATCTACACTACTGGGTGTTTAAAAAAAATGTATCTAAATATTGATATTCACACAACAGAAGAGGGGTTAAAATAAGCTTATCATAATGTGAGAGGTGGATCTGAAAAGGGATGCCCTACACAGTAACTGTTTTAAATTAAGGATCTAACTGAAGCTGCTAAGAAAACAAATACCAGATTCAAAGTAGAAACTGGATAGTAACTCCCCCTTCCTCTATTTATTTATTTATATATATATATATATTTATAACTTTGAAAAGAATTCATATCGGCACTAGTTCTAGTACCAATATGCAATACAAGTAGCAAGGTATGTATTTCTGCCACTTGTAACCAATATAAAGTGAAAAAACCAAACCCAATGATTCTAAATGTATCCGTGTAATCCCAAAATATATTAAAACCACACAGAATCCTGTCCTTAAAGCAGGGTTACCTAAAGCTCTACCAAAACTGAAATATTGGAGTGATGTGATAGAGGGGAGCATGGAAGAATGGAATTCTAGGGATCAGGGTTAGGCAGTACTGCCTGAAGCATACAGTCATCACACCACTAAAGCATGGACTAGGAAGGATTGCTTCTCCACTGATAACACGGGAAAGAACCTGTTGCCTGACTCCTACCTTTCATCCTTCTGCTCCCTCCTCTCACCCTCCCTGATTACACACAGCTTCTGGAGCTCTTAGTTTTTGAATACAACTTCGCCAAAGAACAAAAAAAAGAAAAAAAAAGTTTAACTTTAAAAAAAGTCTCTGGGAACTTTTGCAAGGGCCGATTGCTCTGTGCTAGATTAGAGAGACTGAACAGGCTACTGTTTATTGTTCAGAACTTCAGGGTTTAGACCATCAAGTGTCCACAAAGTCTATTCAACAGAATCCAATGAAAGTGAGAGGCCTACACTGCCTCCCACCTGCTGGGACTGTTGGGGCAGCAACCAGTCCATTAGAAATCATGACCAACTGGAATTTGAGTTTGCGCTTATTTATCATCATTAGCTCATTATTATAAATTGTACATTGCCTTTCTGGGGTGGGGGAAAGAGGAGAAGCAAACATGAATTCAACCTGCTAAATGCATCTGCAATCACTGGGTTCATATTCCACTTTTCTTACAAAGAAGTGCATCCTTGATTGCCAGTGAACACTGTATGCTTGGTGACTAGCTAGCTCCAAGTAAAGAAACCAAAGGCAGGTAGTCCTTTTAGTCCTCCTTTTGTGCTGGTGACCACAAAAAACCCCAAACACCTAAATACACAAAGCCAAAAAATAAGAATTTCTCCCCCTTCCTGACAGCCTTCACCATCAGCCAATCACAAGAATTTGATAGCCAAATGAGCTCGAGTCTATTCCCACTCTCTTGGTGTCATTTTCTCATACCAAGGACAGCAGCACTCAATGGGATGAGGAGCAGTCTTCTTGCTGCCTACAAAGCTGGGCAAATCCAGCTGGGTTTAAAGCAGATTCCACTGTATTGTGGTATTAAAAAAGAATGGCAGAAACGGGTAAGTCTTCCTCTTGGGCATTCCACTGCATTATTTCCATGTTGCAGATTGAGGGATGGATCGTGGGGGAATCATATCCAGGAGATATTCACGTTGACGGTCTACTGCTGAAGAAGTCTTGTGCACGGCTAAACTAGGGTTGACAAAAGCTAGAGCCCCACCTGACAAAACATAAAAAGAGAAAGAAGCGAGTGTCACAGGATGCTTAGTCTGAGACAAGAACAGTGGAAAATATACAGCTCAGTAAATGGCACCCAAGATACTATGGGGATGGATGCTCTCAAAATAGTACTACCGTTACCCAGAAAAAAGTCTCCACACCCATCTGCGCAAGTGGTAGCAAAACTCCCCAGCCTGTTTAAAAGTCTCGTCATGAAGCAATCGGAGTTGACCACATAATTGAGAATTCTCTCAACTCTCAAATGGCATAAAAATATTTCAATATTGGGCAGAAAAACCAGAGCCAGCAGAGCTTTCCTGGGGATTCCAATTATTGCTTCAAGGAAGAGACCAGAAGACTTAACAGAAGTGAGATCCTCTGATCCTTTAACCTAACAGGTGAACATGCTAGTTTAACAGTTAAAGATGCGGTGAAGCCCATTGAAAGGTAGGTGTCGTAGCTTTTCCAACAGCAAAAGATCTATTATTTCCCACTTTCAGTAGAGGCAGATGATGTTTATTTCAAAATTATTGTTGATGTTAACAGTACAGTATTAACTGCACACCCAGGACCTGACGTTCATTGCCCTGCACCTTGTAAAATCATACACACCTTAGGGTAAAACACAACCATTCTCCTAGAGTAGGACTTTACAGCCACTTTGGACGGGTGTAAACAACTGTACCAAGCGTGAGGTAATGGAGCAACAGGCCATTGTCCTTTATGCAGGGAGGTGCCAAAGAGTAACAAAGAATTAAGGTTGTTGGCCAACAAAGTGCAACTAAACTACAAAGAAAAGAACACAAAGAAAAAAAGTCTACCTGTAGTGATGGGGGTCTTCTTCCAGGTAGTAGCATTGCTCTTGCTGACAGGTCTCTCAGCATGCTTACCTGGCCTACTACCAAGTGCTGCTGCAGCTGATGCATTCTGCAACTTGGGTGACTGACTAAATGCATGCAAGACTCCTCGGGTGCTTCCTGGGGGACCTCGAGACAGCTGGCTAGAAGTCTAGTGCAAGAGAAGAATTAATTAGAAGGGCACAGGAATGCAAATGTGTGTCTTGCAAAATGTTCAGTACACTAGTCATGACAATCTTTTACTGGATTTCTCTTCTTCCTTTCCTCCTCCTACCACACCTGGTACTGGCCACAAACTTTGTATCATCTCTAAATCAAAATAAAAAGCTAGCGGTCAACAACATAGTGTCAACAACAGCTTGTTTTTACCTTTTAAAAGTGAAGTGCACATAAAAAAGTGAGGCAGTCGTACTGAGTAGAAACAGCAAAGAAGGTAAGTACTGTGTACACTTCCTCTCTCAGAAGCACCACCAGACGGCAAGCCTGACCTACACCATCAATCCCTTGCTACTCCAGTTCTGGACTTCCTTGGCAGCGTTCCCAATTCCATGGTGGTTTTGTGAGGTGTACAAGTGGGGACTGGGATTAGAAGACGACCAAGTGACTCATTTTCGTTTATGATCTGAGTTGCTATTTGAACCCAAGCCTCTGGCATGGACACAAGTTACACATTAACTTCGAGATCTTACAGCTCACAGCATCAGGAGTTCCTTGCTCACACCTCTCTATACTATGTTTCTAAGTGTTTCCTATCAAATTTGCGATTATCTAAATTAGGGAAATTTTTAGAAGTGTAACTACACTGATGTACTTGCACTGAAGCAGAATTTCCTCCATCTAGACAAACCCAAAATTAAAGACCTTCTTATATGCTACATACTGCGCAAGAATGGCCACACTAGGTAAGACCAATGGTCCATCTAGCTCTGTATCCTGTCTTCCAACTGGTCAGTGCCAGATGCTTCAGTGGGAATGAACAGAACACATCAATTATCAAGTGATCCATCCCATCATCCAGTCCCAGATTCTGGCACTCAGAAGTTTAGGGTCACCCAGAGCATGGGGTTGTGTCTCTGACCATCTTGGCTAATAGCCATTGATGGACCTGTCCTCCATGAACTTATCTAATTCTTTTTTGAGCTCGACAGTGTCACACAGAGCAGAGTTATTCTGCTCCTCTTGCCACATCCCCTTCCAAAATAACACCCTGAGAGTAACAAATGGATTCATTTTACCAGTGATATTTATGTAATTACTACTTAAAATCATCAGGCCATAACTGAGGTAGTCAACAGTTTATTATTTTGTACAAGTTTTTGCCTGTAATAGTTTTGCTGCTCTTTTATTCTCCCATTAATTGCTAATATTACAAATCTGCACAGGGTCACTGGAATGTATCTGATCTGTACTAAGTTATGGGATGTCAGAGAACTCGATGGTGGTTTTAAAAGAATGCTGTCCCAAATGTGCCCCTTAGCGTGGGATTCTGGAGTTTACGTGGGAGTAGTTCAGTTGAAACAAGGTGAGAAGAGCAGTCTTTGAAATATTTTAACTAAAATTAGCATTTTTAAGTGTCCTGTTGATACCCAACCTCCTGCCTAAACCATCAAGAGTTCTTTAACATTTCAGTCAATATTTACAAATGGAGCTCTTCCAAGCATTACAGAAATGACCTCTGTCACTGGGCCCTCCCACTGGTGTTACAGTCAAGGACACATGCTGTTTGGGGGCTACTAGAAGGTGGTTTTATCAAACCAGAGAGTTAGATAAAAACCTTCTCTCTATCCCTGGAGTCCTGTGGGCACCCTTCCCCTTTGAATATGCAGGATCATGCCCTTATTTCTTAACGAGAGCTGGATGTGATTTCAGATTCATCAGTGTTCCTCCTCAATCTGCCAGAGAAGGTTTTTGAAACAGTGCAAGTCTCTCCCCATGATGCCTCTGCAGAATTAAGTGTTTGTTCTCGGCTACTTTAGGAGCAGAGCTCACATCTCAACCGTAGGATCCTCTTCCCATAGCACACTGGATTATTAACAGGACAGCCAAAAACTTAATTCAAAGTACACTTCAGAGCTTATACAACAAGCTCTTCTTGTATCAACTTTCACACCTGTGTGTGATGCAAAATAGGTGCATGGCCTTTTAAAACATATGGCAGGAGGACAAGCTGCGGACGCCTTGCTTGAGTATCTGCAATGGCTAATTTAGTACTGAAGGATTCCTACCTGCTTGAGTGAATGGTGCTGGACTATAGGTTCTGACTTGGTCTGTACAGGAGAAGCAGTCTGTTGCAGTATCCGCTGCTCAATCTCCTGCTCTTGCTGCAAGGCTTTCACAAAGGCAGCCTTCAGTCGATTAGTGTGCTCAGCCTTGAGGGCCTTTTTCTGATTCGATGTCATACAGGTTTCACACATAATGGTTCCGTTCTTCTCTTCCCTCCAGCGGCAAGTGAAGTCAGTCTTACATTGAGCACACATATAGGGCTCCTGAGATGAGGCTGTGACTGAAACTTTACCTGTGGAATGCAACCAGGTTAGCTCACCACTCCAGGTTCTAAAAATGGTTTATGCCTTTGTTCTCAAGCTCCCACCACTCTAAGTGTTTGTCGGTTTATGTTCCTATTTTATCCTCTCACACAGTTTCATTTACTACTCTTAACAACAATGTTAACCAATTTTTATCTGTGCATCAAGCAAGTCTGAATCTTGGCAACAAGCGATTAACTTACTAAAGCAGACTACCTAAAGGATACACAGCGGAGCCACACACCATTCCAGAGCCATGGGAGTTGTATTCAGACTCCTAAAAGTATCACTACTGACCAGCAACTATGGCATTATGCTTCTGGTTTCTAAATCATTATCTGTGAAGTAAATTTTCCTCACTTTGTCCCCTCCCTCCTTTCCTACCGCTCAAGCAAAAAATTACTATTTTAAACTGCCCCAAAGTATACTAGACACTTGAAAGGCAATATAGTCCTTGTTGCAAGGAAACTAAAGTCTAATTTTTGACATGACAAAATAAGTAATGATAATTAAAAAATAAAAGGCGAGAGAAAGGATAAGAACTACATTTATAAAGTCACATGGTTATTTTGCACGGTTGGGATACATCTTTCTTTTTTTTTTTTTTTTTTTTTTAAACTGAGGGACACTCCAGTCTTCATTCTAGACCCTGTCCACCAATACACTAGTATAGCATTTTTTTTTAAAGTCTAATTACTAAAATGTGTATATAAATCATGATCTTGGTCCTACCCGCCCCATTATTGTCATCCTTTGTGGCAATAGGTCTAACCTATTCTAGACAGGGACCTGTCAAGTCTATGGCATGAAAACCATCTATTTAAGGTTATTTAAAAATGTTCTCAATATCCAAACAACTGACTAAACCACATATAAAACATCTGACAATAACTTCACAGGAGCATCATGAAAGATTATGTATGGGTTGAAAAAAAAAAAATCATGACCATTTTTAACAAACAAATGAACAGGAACTATATATACACACTTGTAGGAGGATTCTTAAAGCCCATATAGTACAACCTCAATTTGCTGAAGGGTTTCAGACATCTGAAGTCTTCATAAAAAACACAGGGTTTAGATGGGAAGCATTGCTATCAAATGGACATGACCAATATTTAGTTAACTTGAAGTTAACTACACCTCTACCCCGATATAACGCTGTCCTCGGGAGCAAAAAAA